CTAAGGGTTTTAAAAACTTTCCTTGAGGGACCATCGGATAACATAATGGTTATGTTACTGGACTCCCATGTAATGTAACCATTGTGTTGACCACACTTTGAGATCTGGGCCTGGTGACATGAAACTCACACTGAGTGCATGTGCGTGTATGCCCAAAATCCCAAGAAGAGATTAAAGAAGAGATTGTGGTGTGACCAACCCTCTGGGCAGGGGCATGATTTCTCACTTTCTGTATCTTTGTCTCTCTGGTGAATGCACATGCCTTATAACAAAAAGCTCTTGGGAAAAAAAGAAAAAAAAAACAACTTTTCTTGAGAAAGGTGGGAAATTGTGGGGAGAGGGAAGGCATCAAAGGGGCAAAAAGGCAAAACATTCAACAGACCAAAAAAAAAGAAAAATTATATGTTGATTAAAAAAAAAAAAAAACTTTTCTTGGAAAACAACGCTGTCCCTTTTCCTCCAATGTGGATGACAAAAAAGAGGTATCCAAGTAACCAACCCTTTGGAAACCTCAGGGTTCTCTTAATGAGGTTAAGTTCCTTGTGTTTGGGAGAACAAAAGGGGCTGTATGTGAAGCACCTGATGTGGTGATGGCGCAGAGATTCCTTTCAGGCTTTCTTTGGATAATTTCTGCCTGTTTCCCTCTGATGTGACAACTAGATGATTAAGACACCATTGTCTGAAATAGGGTAAATATGAGAAAAAGGGGATGTCTGAGGAATAGCAAATTCTACTTCTGAACTACTGAGTTTGGGGCATCTCTATCAGTCACACCGAATTTATGATTTTTGTAAAATGTAGGAAAAAGTGAACTAGTTAATTAATTAATAGAGAAGGCTGACACACTTTTTAGTTATCGGGTACTGAGCACTATAAGCTAGCACAGTGCTAAGTGCTTCACGCACAGTATTGATTAAATTCTGTTTTGTAGAGAAGGCACGTGAGCCTCAGAAGAGTTTAGTACCTGTTTGTCTCAGGTACAGAGCATGGACATGTCAGAGCTGGGCCTCAGACCTGCTTCCACCCTTGGGTCAGTGAGGAAACCACTGCTCTGGCCAGGAGTGTGAGGTAGTGGAGAAGCCATTATGCAGGGAGGGGAGAGAGTGTAGCGAGTGGTGGAGTTAGGGTGTCCTGGTTGGCTGGTTTGCTTTAACATGGGAGAGCCTTCAGCGCTACTGAATACTGATGAGGGCAGAAGAGGGAGGCAGAGAGGGAGGAGATGTTCAGAAGGCAGAGTGCAAGAGTCTGTGTGTGTGTGGAGGGGATAACCTTAGGAAGAAGAGCACCTCTTTTTTGTGTGTGCTAGGGTAGGGCAAGAAAATTATTTCTAGGTTTAACATGAGCACATTGATGATGTACTCTTCTGATTGCTCTCATTACTCTCTGTCCCTCCCACTCTACCCCATTCTGTCCAGCAGTCAGTCCCCGTCACCCGGAGTACACTAGCCCTTCAGACTTCCACCCTTGTTCTGCAGGGCTCCCAGGGAGCACTCAGCTGGTCTGCCCTCTCACCTGCTGATGTGACTTCCTCTCGAGAAGAGGCATCCTATTCACTGGTGGTCAGGGCCTTCAAAACTGTTTGCTAAGTATGCATGAATTAATTCAGTCTGTGTTTAAGACATAGTGCCACACTGCAGGGCTTTATGGTCTGAAAAAGAACTATTACTACACAGATGATCGTAAGGAAAGTCACATTGAACAAGGGTCACACAACTCAGATGTGCAGAATTTTGTGGACTTCAGGAGATAAGGGGATGTTACAGTCTACTTACGAGGAGCAAGAGGACATCCAGACATAGCCAAATTTACTGGAGTTTATTGATTAAGCCAGCAGCATACGGGGGACTCGTGTCTCTCTAAACCCCTCAGCTACAAGTGAAAGGAGAAGGGAGCTTAAATAGGCCAAAAATTCACAATCATTTCTGGGATGACTTGATGGTGATGGTTTACAAGGACAAGGTGCAGTGGGCTTTGAAGGGTAGGGGGTATGGTTTCACAATAGGGTTTTACAAGGAAAAGGCAAGTTTCTAGTTATTACAATCTTTTATTTATTTATGTATTTATGTATTTATTTATTTATTTTTATTGAGAGGTTTTTGCTATAGGGCCCATGTGCTTGCCAGAAAGACAGAGGCAGAAAGCAAGAAATCACCTCCCAAGGGGATGGCCACACAGCAATATCTTCTTCATTCTCCTCTCGGGATCTTGGGTATGCATGCACATGTACCCAGCATAAGTCCAAGCCACTAGGTCCAGGACTCAAACCGCGGTCTACTACATGGAAGTCCAGTGACATAGCCATTATTCCAACTGCTGGTTCCAGGAATCTAACAGTTAATAGTAGAGGTGGTCCTCCAAGATGAAGTCGTGCTTCAAGGGCAGGAGGGAGAAGAGGAGGAGCAGGAGCAGAAGGACTGGGTACCGTTGTCCCACAGTATCTGCAAGGAATTCATAGGACCTCCTTCAAATAGTGAACTCTGGATACTCAAATCACTTGTATAAAATAGTGGAGTATTTTCATGTAACCTAGGCACATTCTCCCATGCAGTTTATTTTTTTAGGGAATAATGATTAGAAAAGCCCCTGTACATGTTCAGCACAGCCACACCATGGAGGCTTAACTTCACAGAATGGATCAGCAACAGCAGAACTGATTACATCCGGGGTTGCTGGAATCCGCGGAGGTGGACCTCACAGATCTGAAAGGCCAACTGTGTTGTTTGAGTGATACCATAAGAAACTTTCTAAGGAGTATAGTTCTAAATTCGTTGTTGAAGGATTATGTGTATTTTGTTTACTGACAGAGAAAGAAAGAAACTGTTTTATCTAGAGAAAGTATTATAAGAAATAGCACGAAGCTAATTTTGGGAATCTGGCAGTCCAGTTTGACTGAAGTATGGAGTGTAAGCAGTGATTTCAAAAAGTTTATGGGAACCAGCGGTTAGCGTAATGGCTATGTCGCTGGACTCCCACGTAGTCGACCGCGGTTCGTGTCCCGGACCCGGTGGCTTAAAACTCACGCCGGGCGCGTGTGCGTGTGTGCCCAAGATCCCAAGAGGAGAATGGAGGAGAAGGGATTGTGGCGTGACCATCCCCCCTGGGGGGTGATTTCTCGCTTTCTGTCTCTATGTCTCTGTCTGTCTGGCGAGCGCACGCGCCCTACAGTGAAAATCTCTCAAAAAAAAAAAAAAAGTTTATGGAAAAATAGAATTAAAACATTCATTTATTTTGATGCAAAAAATTGTTTTTAAATACATGTAGCCTCCAGCATGTTTAGTTGTATTAATATTATAAGACTTGTGTTGGCAATTTATGTCAAGCAAAAGATTAATACTGGACAATTAATTCCCCTTGGACATTACCTTTGTGACTGGACTTACTATGCAACTTGTGTTTCTTAAACTTTTACTGGTTTAACAGTGTTAAACCTGAAAGGAATTCACAAAAACTAAATATATAATAAATGAGAAAAATATGTATGCATAGTTTTAATAATTTGCATTTTCCTTGAACTTTTGAGACTGCTCATAGCTGGGGTGGTAGATCTGTGATGCACTGGAAGGACCTCAACTGCTAAACTAAGAAAAATTTTCACTTCTCTATCAGAAAACGTTGTGAGCATATTCAGAACCCCCTTTCATCCCTTCTGTATTTCTCCATCTTGTCAGACTTTAGGACACATACACATACACACATACTTACATACACACTCAGTGTGCTTTTCAAGCCACGAGGGTTGGGATTCAAACCACACAGTTGGCCATGTGGGATCTGGCTCCCTTGACCTCCAGGCCATGCCATGGGCTAGGCCTTTGGTTTTTTCTTTATTCATGATAGAGTATGTGTGAAGTAAGCATGACTCCATCTTGGAGGTGCGCCTCCAAGAGAAGTGGGGAATGAAGCAGAAGTGACTCCATCTTGGAGGAGCCTCCATTATGAACTGTTAAATCCCTATGACTGGAAACCTGCCCTCTTCCCTTTTGTCTAATAGTAAGTAGAGTGATTAACACTCCCATTGTCCTTAAAATTCCACTTGTGTTAGTTGCCTTAAGAAAAGGTCCAGTCACTGGACATTGCCCAGAACCATAAAGACTATTCAGATTCCATTGTGTTTGGGTAAAGATGGAACATACTCTTGGCGATGATTAACCTGCTTACCTGCTTGTTCTGCTTCTGTGATGTGCTTTTGCTTGCTTTTACATTAAAAAACCCTACCCCCACCCTTTCACATCCACTGTTCTTTGTCCTTCTGAATCCTCAGGTCATCCTGGACATGATTGTGCATTTTTGGCCTATATAAGCTCCTTTCTTCATTTACTCAAGGCTGCTAGGTTTTGTGAGACATGAGTGTCCCCCGCCCCCATGCCGCAAGCTTAATCAATAAACTCCAATAAATTTGGCTATGGTTGGATGTCCTTTTATTTCTCGCTGAGTAGACTATAACATGTGTATCTGCTTAAGAGAAAAAAAAAGGCACTCTTCACAGGGTCTGATCACATCATGGTTCCCTTTGTCCAGTCCTCCAGGGTGTTGAATCTCGTACACTCATGTGCCTGCCTGACCTGTTTCAGACTGGCTGGACTAGAGATTCGAACCACAGTCACCATGTAGGATCCGACTTCTCTTGAGCAGTACATTACTGCTGCTCCATGGAGCTGGTCCTTGGAAACTATTTTAAGCAGTGTTTCAGACTTAGCTGTGAGAATTTAGAAATCGTACCCAGCATGTTCACCCCACTGGCTAAGGCAGTGTCTCTAAGAGTTTCAGGGTACTAGTATCATTGTTGTGCAGCAGCAGCTGAGTTGTCCTCTCTGGCAGTTACTTGGCTGCCATACTGTCTGGGGAAAATGGGAATATGAGTGGACTCTGCTTGTCCCTACAGTTATATATTCATCACTAAAACTGGTTCCTCCCTACCCTATTTGTAAATTGTTATTCTTGATAACTATTTCTAGTCCACAAACAAATTAAAAATAAAAACTTATTTTTTTATCTTTCAGTTAAAAAAAAGAAGCCTAAACTTTTAAATAAATTTGATAAGACTATTAAAGCTGAACTTGATGCTGCTGAAAAGCTCCGTAAAAGGGTAGGTTGGTATTTTTGGTTTTCATGGAAATGTGCAAATGGTTTCACTGTTAAATAAGCTCAAGCATTACTCTTGGTTTATTCAAAATAATAATCAATGTATAAGGAATAACCTTAGAATAAAATTATTTTGTATCAAGATACATTATACATGTATTTTACATGACCTGAACCAGGTAGGAAGGAATCACAGTCATATAGACAAAAAGAACTAGAAATGTCCTTCATGCCAACTGACCTGGGTGTCAGCCCGCCTCCGTCACATTCTAATTACCTGGCTGCAAGCAGATCACTTGTCCCTTCAGAGCCCTCCTTATTTGAAAATATGAAAATGTTATGTGCTCTTCCTACCTTCTGCTGGCTTTTGCAAAGATTAGATGAGATTTTAGAGTGGTCAGCACTGTCAAGCACCTTAAAAGTGAATGTTTTTAATTTTATAGACCCTTATGCAAAAGGGTTGAAAAAATATCAGTCCAATATTCTTAGTCTAGTTTCTATTAGATGAAGTACATTAAGTTTTTTACTTAGGGTTAAATTCCTGTACCCCCAATTTTTAGAGTGACTATTTTGCTTTTTCATCAATTAAATTAAAATATTACTTATATTCCTTTCTAGATATTAGATATTATATTTTCATTGTTTCTGAAAACAATGACTTGACACTACATTGAAGTTGTTTATTTTCTTAACTAAGTCATATTCAACTAATTATCAGGTCCCAAAACTTTTATTATAATGTAATTTAATCACACATTTAATCATCCAGTTGTGTTTTTTTTTAATTATTTTATTTATTTATCATTATTATTTTTTAATTTGCTACAGGGCACACGCGCTCACCAGAGAGAGAGAGAAACAGAGACACAGAGGGAAAGTGAGAAAGCAAGTTGCCAGATCTGAGACTCGACCTGCTGTTGGCCATGTTGCAGTTCAGAGCCTCTACCACCATGCTACTTGCTGGCCCCATCCACTTGTTTTTTGTTTGTTTGTTTGTTTGTTTGTTTTTGAGAGTTTTTGCTGTAGGGCACGTGCACTCCCAGAAAGACAGAGAGATAGAAAGTGAGAAATCACCCCCCAGGGTGGATGGCCATGCCATAATCCCTTCTCCTCCATTCTCCTCTCGGGATATCGAGCATGCACACACACGTGCCCAGCATGAGTTTAAGACACCGGGTCTGGGAGTTGAACCGTGGTTGAGTACATGAGAATCCAGCGACATAGCCATTACGCTAACTGCTGGTCCCCTATCCACTTGTTTTTGGTGGAAATTTCTCTTTATTCTGTACTTGAATTTAGATTCTGTGTGATGCTCATTAGTTTTTCTGCAGTAAGCTTTTGTATCAAGTAGACATTGGCTGCAGAAAAAATTTAAAAGTACAAGAGGATCTTAAGTAACTAAAGAACAATAAAAACTTGGCAAGGTAGGAACTGAAGTGGAACAAGAAGGTGCTTCCCAAATATTTATTGGAAATTCACAAAATAGAAAGCCTTGTATAAGTAGCATCAGATGTGGCTCTGGAACCAAGATTTGGCCTATATTGTTTGCCAGCTGATAAAAATATAGTAAATCTGAAAGGTAATATAGCAAAGTCATCATTTCCTGCTCCTAAATTTAACCTTACAGAAGGAAGTCATCTACTATTTGCAGTAAATTTGTATTTCTAAGTAAGACCTCTAAACAGGGCACCAACATCAAAAATGGACAGGTTGGGGTTACATCAAGCTAAAACTTTCCTTCATAGTAAAGAAAATATTAAGTAAAGAGATAACCTATACAATGAAGGAAATATTTGGAAACTATATTTCTATACTTTTGATATGGACCTGGTAATCAGAATATGTAAGAAACTCAAGCAGCCCCCCCTCCCCACACACACACTCACAAAATCTCCACTATTAATTCAATTAAAAATGGGCAATCAATCTTCAATCTGAAATGACAGCTCTCAAGAAAACATTAAAAAATGTTCTATTTCTCTTATCATAAAGGAAATGTAAACCAAAACCACAATGAGGTGTCATCTAATTCCAATCAGAATGCCCATGATAAAACAAACAAACAAAACAAAAAACGCACACAGAGTAATAAGAGCTAGCTATATTGTGGAAATAGGAGAAAACTGGTGTGTTGCGGATAAGAACATAAATTAGTGTGGCCACTGTGGAAAACAGCATGAACATTCCTCCAAAATCTAAAATAGAATTACCGCATAACTCAGCAATCCCACTCTTGGATATTTCTCCACAGGACATGAAATCACTCTGTCAGAGAGACATTTGCACATCCATGTTTTTTGCAACATTATTCACAACAGATAAGACATAGAATCAGCCTAAATGCCCAACAACCAATGAATGGATTAAGTAAATGTGGCACATATACACTATGGAATGTTACTCAGCTACTAGGAAAATCAGTGTCCTGTTGTTGGTCACAAAGTGAACAAATATAGATGTTATAATGCTAGATGAAATAGCTAGGCTGTGAAAGGTGGAAAACTGTATGTTCCCCTTAATATATACTGTATTTCTGCATTCTTGTTTGAAACAGAAGGACTTGATGACATAGAAGGAGGGGGAGTAATGACAGACACCAGAAGCTGCATAGTGGTATGGGAATGGTTTTTGGAGAAAATTATAAACAGATACAAGAATGCATGTAAACAAGTAGAATAGGGGGACCACCAGTTAGCGTAATGGCTATGTCGCTGGACTCCCATGGTGTCGACCGTGGTGTCCCATGTACCCGGTGGCTTAAACTCACGCCGGGCGCATGTGCGTGCGTGCCCAAGATCCCGAGAGGAGAATGGAGGAGAAGGGATTGTGGCATGGCCATCCCCCCTCGGGGGTGATTTCTAGCTTTCTGTCTCTCTGTCTGTCTCTGTCTGGCAAGCGCTTGCGCCCTATAGCAAAAACCTTTTCAAAAAAAAAAAGTGGAATAGGTTATGAAGCAGGATACTACAGCAGAGTAAAAAATGTCACTGACAGTTCAATATATACTTTCAAAAAAAAACAACCAAAACTAGTAGAGCTATTATTGAATGTGTACTGTGTGATGCAGTGCTCAATGCAAATAAAATAAATATCTTGCTATCCTTGATTTATTACACACTGTATGCATGGTTTGAATAACCATAGTGTACCCACAAATATACAAAACAACTAAATGTAATTTAGAAATCAAATTTTGAAAAACTTAAAAATAGAAATAAAATTTCTTCATTTGCATTTCTTCATTTCTTAATAGAAAAAAGTCTCATTCTATTTTAAAAAAGAAGAAATAGAAACATCTTTTTCTCTTCCTGTTTGGGTCCTTCACTCCCTCTGTACTATGCCATATATGAAAATAGGGGCTGCCTCTTGCACAGGTGACTTGGGATAAAGGACAATTGAACAGTTTTCAAGAAGGATTTTTATGTGATTTTAATGAACGACAAGGAAAGGCTCAGTTATTAAGGGGGAGATAGATTAGTGGGACATGAAAATGCTGGAATAGTCAAAGGGGTCATCTCTAGTCACTTCTCTGAAGAAATTAGGATTTTTAAGGAGCACCCTGATTCTATCACAGGCTCCATAAAGGAGGAAAAAGTGGCCCCCTATGTAAGTCTTGCTTTTGAAACAACTGGAAGTCACATTATTGACTGAACCATCAGCGTACCTAAGTCTTTTCAAGTTGTTATGGCTATTTTTAAGAAATATTTTAAGCTTGCCCCCACACACACAAGGTGTGTACACTGACCAGAAAGAGACAGAATGACACAGTGAGAGGGAAAGTGAGAAATCATCCCCATGGGGATGGCCATACCGCAGTCCCTTCTGCTCTGTTCTCCTTGGATTTGGGGCACACACACATATATACCTAGTGTGATCATCAGGTCACAAGGTCTGGAACTTGAACTGTGGTTGGCCATGTGGGAGTCCAGTGACTTAACCACAACACCACCTGCTGGCTCTGACATAGCACCTATTTTTATAGAATGCAACTTAGTGCACTGGAATAGCTGAGGCCTGACCAAAGACATGCACCAGACCATGTGAGTGCAGCTTTAGTTCCAGTCTTCACTCCAAGCTCTAGACTACATGAAAGTATGTAGACTCTTTTTACACAGATCAGATTATATGTCAGTTATCTACTTTTAAAATAAATTTATTATTCAAAACTCCTTTCAGTCCCCAGAAGAATTCAAAATGGTATACTGAAATATATTTATTTGTTGGGATCATTTATTTTTAATTATAAGAGAAAAGGGAAAATATTTTAATACACCAGAGTAAGATCAACACATGAAATTTCATACCACAGGCTCCAAACCCCCATGAATGAAGTCAACTGCACTTTCTCATGGGCAGAATAAGAGAAACAGAATCAGAGTGTAATTATTATTGTTCATCAGAATAGCTATTCTTCACCAAGTCTGGAAAGAACCATTCTACTGTAGTAATGGCTATGTCGCTGGACTCCCATGGTGTCGACCGTGGTGTCCCATGTACCCGGTGGCTTAAACTCACGCCGGGCGCATGTGCGTGCGTGCCCAAGATCCCGAGAGGAGAATGGAGGAGAAGGGATTGTGGCATGGCCATCCCCCCTCGGGGGTGATTTCTAGCTTTCTGTCTCTCTGTCTGTCTCTGTCTGGCAAGCGCTTGCGCCCTATAGCAAAAACCTTTTCAAAAAAAAAAAGTGGAATAGGTTATGAAGCAGGATACTACAGCAGAGTAAAAAATGTCACTGACAGTTCAATATATACTTTCAAAAAAAAAACAACCAAAACTAGTAGAGCTATTATTGAATGTGTACTGTGTGATGCAGTGCTCAATGCAAATAAAATAAATATCTTGCTATCCTTGATTTATTACACACTGTATGCATGGTTTGAATAACCATAGTGTACCCACAAATATACAAAACAACTAAATGTAATTTAGAAATCAAATTTTGAAAAACTTAAAAATAGAAATAAAATTTCTTCATTTGCATTTCTTCATTTCTTAATAGAAAAAAGT